GGGTCGAACCTGGCCCCCAGGGGGTTCAGGCGGAGAAGGCCATGCTTGCTGAACACTTTCTGGATCTGGACCTCGGTCATCAGGAGCCCCTCGTAGAGGTGCTTCAGGTGGGGGTTGTCGTCTCTGATCTCCTCCTTGGGAACTGACTCTGTTGCCTTCTCCAAGATGTCTGCAACCTCCAGCAAGTCCTTGCAGAAGCCCTGGATGCCTGGGCGGAGTCAAAGAAGATATCATTTGCATCCGTATCAACTGCCCGGGCAATTAGATCTCGAAGCCCTACTTCCTTCATGCAAAGGCTGCTGAAAGGCACCTTTTCAAATCATTCGTTTGTCCTAGAATTTCATTGGCTGGACTAAAACCCGAACTTCTGAGGTTTAGACAAGAGCCAGTGAGGTAGAGACAGGCAGCTCAAAGTGCAGACCCCTCACCATCAGCCCTGCCCAGACTGAGAGGGGCGTAAACTCCAGAGCCTGTTGTCCCCACGAAGTCCAGCCACACTGCGGCCCTGGGCCCGCCAGGGAGAGGTGGCTGCTGTGCGCAGCTACAGAGCACGGGCCCGGGAACGTCTCCCTGGCTGGGACTGAACTGCTGTGTGATCCTGGTTAACCTCCCTGGGCCTCAGCTTCTTCAGTTATAAAACAGGGATAAGACTATCTAACACACAGCGTGCTCACGAGGATCAAAGTTCTACACACTCAGAGTGCCCGGAACACTCTCAGTACTCAGTAAGCATTAGCAGTTATTTGGCACTACAGGGTAACAGCTTCCAGGACACACCCCAGGTCTTAACTTTAATCTACAGAAGAAATAACATGTTAGAACATTTTACATAAATATGAATGTTTGTGGTTTCAAGAAAACGCTTCAGATGCTGCATGCTAGTGACCAGAGTACCCCTGATGGGTCCCCAAAGGCCACACGGCACTGCGCCCACCCTGGTCCGATGCTCCAGTGTGACCTGCCCAAGTCTTCTCAAGCCTCAAAGGCTCTACTTTATGCAGTATTTCCATGCGCCTGCTTTACAGGGAAACCTAAAAAATTTTTGCCTAATACAACAGTGAGCATCTGTTATAGGTCACCCTTGTGCCATTTGCTGGGGAACTGTTGCCCTCATGGGGTGCACAGGCTTCGAGACAGGCACATGATCACATAGGCGACAAATACAGTCACAAATCACACTCAGACGAAGGCGCACTCACGAGCGCTAAGGACAAAGTAATCTATGAAGGACTTCATTTAGACTAGGGAGTCGGGGGAGGGTTCCGTGAGCCGAGGCCTGGAGAGTCAAGAGTGATCCAAGCATCTGAGGAACCAAACGGCAGCCAGTCTACCACGAAGAGGCAGACCTAGAGAGCCGAAGATTCCAGAGTGGCTGGTGGAACGGGTGGAGGTGTGCTGTAGGCGAACTGCACTTTAACGGCACTTTGGTCGGGCTGTGGGCGGTGATGCGAGGGCTGATGCTGGCCTGGACCAGAGTGGAGGCAGCAGCAGGAGCTGGATGAACCAGAGCCCAGCGACGACCACTCACAGGCGGGGGGCGTGGGCTTGAGGGAGGGCTTCAGGTGACAGACCTAAACGCCTGGGTGGGTAACGGTATCATTTCCTAAAGCAGGGAGAGAGGAAGCACAGGCAAAGGGGAAACCCAGTTTGAAATCCCTGTGAGACACCCCGGTCAGGACACACTAGGCGCAGGAGGAACGCCTGAGCTGGAAAGCGACCCTGTGCGTGGACGCCATTTAGACCCATCAGACGGGCAAGTCCCCGGGGGACACAGTGAGGGGGCCGGCTGGCTCCGAGCCTGGAAGAACCCAGACACGTGGAGGGTGACAGATAAGCGGCCAATGAAGGGGATGACCAGAAAGAGGAAGAAAAACAGGAGCTGAGGTGACAGCACCCAAAACCAAAGTGTTTCAAGAAGAGCAGTGTTCTGTGTTGAATGAGGAAACATGACAAGGCCTGCATCTTAGTTCGCACCGCCGCCACGCGCGCTGACCCTCCGGTCGTGAGCCCGAGGTTCCGCATCTATAACGTGGGGAGATGGCGCCTGGCTGACAGCTCAAACGGCAGCCTTCTATGTTGTCAACACAGCACGCGTGGAGCTGGGAGATGGGCCTTAGCGCCGTTACCTGCTTTGTGGTGAGTGCAGGTCATTCAAGCCTCACTGATCTCAACTGTGAAATGGGAAGGACGAGTACAAAAACGTCCAAAGACGACAAAGCAGACAGCGTTATGGGAGATCTTAGGTGATACCAACGTGCCTCTGAGGCTGCTCTAGCTAAGGATGTGAACCTCAGAGGGCCGACCTGCCAGAGGCCCCTATGAGCTCACACCAAGTCTTCACGTGGAAGAGCAATCGACACACCCCTCACTAGAGGAATCACAGCTCCAAATGCGAGTCATGGGTATTTCTGCTCCTTCCAGGCGACAGCCGACCCAACCTACAAACTGGAGGGCTTGCCACAAGCAGGCCCCAACCCCCACCCCTGGCTGATCACGTCTGACACAGCCCTCTTCTTCCTTCCAGGATCATTATCATACAATATTTAAAGTTTACCATATAGTTTTGCCTCCTCCACCAATTTTTGGCTCCTCTGCCGTAAGTTCTCAGTATCAGCCAAAGCTCGCTTATATTTTTCCTTAAAAAAAAAAAGTGGGGGGAGGTGTGAGGTGGAATATACATGGATTAAGTATGGAACAAATTCATAGGAAAGCAAATCTGATAAAACAAATTCCAAGTCAAAATACAAATAACATCTATTGTTCTGTTTGAGATTCCGGATTACAGACAGCGCTGCTTAATAAGCAGAAATAACCTGTGTCACGATTTCTAAGTGGGTAATAAGATGGCCGGGTGCCACATTTTCACACAGCCCCTAAGGCCACCCTCACTTAAGTGTGCAGCTGTGGAAAGGACAAGAAAAAGCTGCTAGTTTCTGGGGTTCTGACAGTTCCCCACAAGGAAGGACCATTCACTGCTCAGCAGAATCTCTCAATTAAGGGAATCCTAGAATCCTGGACAGGGGCTGACTGCCTCATGGCCACGCCTTGAGGAGGTTCAGGAGAACCACGAGCCTGGTGGACAGTTTTGGTCGCTACCCTACAGAAGAGGTACAACCCCATCAATGAATCATATATTTTTAACGTTGCCTAGATATGGCTCGGGTGAAACATCTATTGTGTAATAATCATCCGAATTCTGAAATCCTCCTCATTTCTCACAACTTTTCCTGTAATTTCACTCATCTCCTGGCATTTCTATTTCTACCATGCACTCAGTTACTGTGTTGGGCCCTCCCTCTGTTTTCAGCCTGCAGGTGATTCCAATGCAGCCTGAAGAGCAAGGCGTACTAGGCACAGCCCTGGCCTGCTGGTGACCTTGGGAGCGTTACTGAAGTGCCCTGAGCCTCAGTTTCCTCATTTGGAAACAAGGATACTAACAGCTGACTCACAGGGTTGACGTGAGGATTTATATAAGTAAAGGGGTTAAAACAGTGCCAGCATCAGTGCTTGACATGATCATTTTTAAATCCCTAAAGGATCTAATTTGTGTCACCTGTGCTTTTTCACCCAGGGTACTAATCTGTATCACTAACTCGTTCATAAAACTTCCCCTTTCCTATGAGAGCACCACATAGCCACACCTCTGCCCCCTACCCTCATCCTTCCCTAAGAGCCAGCTTAATCAGCCATCCTGCATATTCCTCCCTTGTAAAGACCGTTTTAAGTCTTAATTCAATATAGTCTACGTAGCACATAAAGATGATTCTTATGACAGAACCAGAGCCACAAGGGATTTGGGCCCTATTCCCTTCTTCAGCAGTAACTTGTTGCAAGACCCAACCGCAGTCCTTGGACAAAGATGGCTTCAGCCTCTCTTGTCAATAAAGCATGAAGGCTGGCCAGGCATCCTTGGAAGAGATTTACTTGGAGTTCAACAGACCACGTCCCCCAAGAGCCCCATGGACTTACCATGGTCTCCTTCAGCTGCTCTTCCAACTTGACCTTCTCTTCTATGAGCGTCTTCTCTGCAGAGGGAGGATCTGTCTTCTGTCCATTGGGACCCACATCCTCTTCCAAATTCTGGCCACTGTTCTTCTGTTTTGTAGCTGTGCACAGCAGCCGAGGAGAGGGCCTAAGAGAAGCCCACATGCTAGAAATTAACCACGGTCTTTCTGCCTATTAAACTCACACATATGACTTAAATTGGAAAAAACTTAAAACTCTTTGCTAGTGACTCGTGGAGGAGAAAGGATTTATCCTAGATCTAATAAAGGTAAATTGTATATGATGTATGGAAGCTATTTATACAAAATCTTCTGCAATACATGCTTCAACTAATATGTCAATGTACCCAAGATGCAGTGCTAACCTCCTCTTGTTCCTACTCTGAACACTTTCTTCTCAAGTCTGGTCATCCACACTCCACCACATACTGATGCAGCAGCTACTACCGGAGGTGAGGCCCAGTAGTCAGCAAAGCTGGAGATCTTGCCCACAGAGTACTTATAGTCACACAAAAAAGATATCTATACACAAAGAACTATAATCAAGGTTTTAAAGTAATAAAAGAGGAACCATGTGCTTTGGGAGGCTCAGAGAATACTTCCAGCTTTGGGGAAATGGAAGACTATGAAAGAATCTGTGCAGAGGGGCTCTGAGTGACAGATGAGAATTCATACAGGGAACTGGGAGTGGATGAGACACACCCACTTTAGGAACAGGGACCAGCCTGGACAAAGGCAGGGAGGTAGGAGAGCACAGGGGTGGTGCGCACAGGGGAAATACAAAGAGCTCTAAAACTAATCCTGGAAGTGACTTAAGATATTACTCAATCTGATCCCCACATGAAAAAGTTTAAGTGATAAGCCCAAGGTCACAAAGCCATTAACGAATGATGAGAGTCCCAAAACAGATCTCTTCACCAGGCCCAGTGGAGCTCTTCTTACTTACACTGATCCGAAAATAAACTGCATTCAACTTTCTTCCCAGATCAAAGAAAACTGCCTCAATGCACAGGAAAGCTATGAGCGCACAGAACATACGTACAGCATGGCAGAGTGACATGACAAGGCAGCATGTGGAGTGACAAGCTGGAAACAGAATGCTGGTCAGAAAGAGATGGTTGAACTGTTGCTTCCACGATCTGGAATAGTGAGTAGCTACCAAACAGAATGTATTAAACTGCCAACTTAAGATACGGTGCAGGTGTACTATGTAAGAAGAAAGGCAAAACACAGAGAAATACAGAAAACACAGCCCCGTTTTTACAAAGACAAACCAGAAATCCTGAGTAGGTACGTGTCTTAGGCCTGCAGAGAGGACTGGAAGGGTCCATTGGTCTGTTACCAAGAGAGTGTTGTGTTCACTTTTGTGATTTAAAAAAAAGGACTGAAGTCTAAAAACGCAACGTGCTGTTGTAAAGCCATCTTATTTGCTCGTTGTCCTGGCCTACAGGGGCGAGAGGGTCACAGCCTTTCTGCAGGTCAGCGCTGCTCTGCAGACCCTCCTGGAGCTGCCGGAGCAGCAGTGTGGTAGCAGAGGAACAGGGCCCAGTCAGAGCCCACCCTGTCCTACACGGAGGGACACGGCGTCCCAGGGAGCTGAGTTACTCTGCCAGCTCAGAGTACAATTCCGCTCTCCTGACCCCTCCATGCGGGTCTCCTCCCACCAACCTCCTTGGCGGAGACAGAAATTAACGCTGACTTGGAGATCGCTTCCCAGGCAATTAATGGTAGATATAAAACCACAAGTTGAGAAAAAAGCCTTTTTGACTTGGGCATTCCAGATGGGTTTGTTCCCATACTGCTCTAAATGACTAACCAAGCCGGCAATCGCACCTTCTCTCCCTCACCTGCCTGGTCTCCCCACCCGCTCAATGAGCTCCTTGCGGGACAAATCCAAGTCTTGCCCACGCAGCTTCTACCCAACGTTTGGCTCAGAGCAGCTTCTCTAATAGATAACCTGGTTCTGGGAAGTTCCTCCAACACAGAAGATGCTAAGCACTTGCTACACTAATTTATGAGTCTGGACTTTCAAAAAGCAGAAACCGCAGGGTTAAAAAAAAAAAAGAAATAATGAGGTGAGGGCACTGACTCATGACCCCGCCGCACTTCTGACCTCGGACTCGGGAGCAGGCAGAAGTGGACAAGGAATCCGTGCTGAGCGGAAAGAGCCCGTGTGCCGCTGCCGGGCGCCCCGGGGACCCGGCACGCGCGGCTCTGCGACGCGACCGGGCTCGCGGCTCGGGTCGGAGCGGTTCGGACTTGCGCGGGGCGCCGTCCCGCCCACTCCGGGCCCGCCGCGCGGGTAGCAGGGTCAGCGCGG